TACAATTTTTTGCAATTAATACAAATATCCAAGTTCTTGATCTTTTTTGCCCTTTTTAAAGGTACCTCCTTGTGTGGACCCCCATCAAGGTTTATGAAGTGAATCGCAGTACTTTTTCAGTGTATTTTGAAAGCTACTGATGTTGATGTAATTTCAGTGCAAAGGTGTCTGAAGATTGCTAGGAAATCAGTAATTTTTAATGTATTTGAGCATTTTGCCATCACCCATGTTTTATTTAAATGCTTCTCCTTTTGCTGATGAAAATCTGGTGACGAGATCACTCTGAGAGAGGGTCTGGGTACACATAGGTGGTCCTTTGACAGAGTATTGCTCCAATAGGGATAATGGGATCTTCGCTGTTGGAAGCAGAGTGGACCCTTTGTTTACAAATCACTTTGCAAATCCACAGCAAATAATCTCATTTTAGGATTTATTTTCATTGGAAAATACAGAACGGTAATGGCCAGGCTGTGACTATCTTTGATTTAGGACAGTGACAACAGGAGAATGAAAGTACCTTTTCATATTTCTTACAGTCTCATTTCAACCACCATCCTTGTATTCAACTGAAACTGTTTCCTAGGGGTAGGCAACCTTAAAAGATTGGGGCCAAGGCCTTCCCTCAGATTTCGGTTGTCCATGGCTGCTGTTGTAGTATCACTTGCCAGATCCCCAGCCCAAGCCATTGCTGTGCTGCAACTGCATGTCGGGATGACATCCAAGCACACATCTTTCTCTTCTTCTACCCTTATTTGCAGAAGAAACCTGAGTGTATGAACTGGGAGACCACTGCAAGGTATTCATTTGGTCCCCTGAACTGGAGAATGGATGGGGTAGGTTCTAAGACCATGACGGACCATGCCTGCCCTACAACATAGGCATAATTATCCTGGTGTGTCTGAAGAGGGATTCAACACTCTAAAAGAATCCATATCATTCTTCCTGAGCAAAGGAGGGGTTGGGACATGGGTCTGCATCTTAAAATCATAGCCTCACACTAAAATGTTTAAAGCCAATAATAAAAGGTTTTAATTACATCATCAAATTTTATAACCATTCCTAAGACCTTTATCCTCTCTGACATCTTACGAGAGAGTGCATGCTGTCTGGGGCTGTGATTAGCTCACAAAAAGGAGAGATTAGAGTATTAGCCATTACTGAGCAGATGGATCATTACACAGGATCTTAAGCCAAGAAATAAATATTCTCAGTAAGTCACATTTGGAAGACACAAAATATTTAAATAAAGTTTTAAATACCTGTGGAGATTAACAAGGATCTAACTTTATGGTATGACAACATACATACCAGGTGATGGAATGAAGAATGTGTAAGGCTTTCACATCTTTTCTCTGGTTTAACAAACCTCACTTGGTCACAGTGGGTATTTCTAGTCAAAAGACTATGGGCTATAGGTATCCTGTGCATAAATATCCAACACAGGAGACTGAAGTCAGGTGACTCATCTACCCATTGTTGGTGATCTAGTATTATTCATACTGTGTTTTCTACATTTATTAGTACAGCAGTGGTTGGTATCTTTAGGAACACACAAATAATGAGTACTGTAGGGTTTTGTTTTGGTTGCTTTTTTTGAGTTTGGATACAAAAGAGCTGGAAATGTTGATCAAGCAATTTACAGAGGTGGAAAAATGACAGGCTTAGTTTGAATAACTAGCTCTTTCCTTCACTAGGAAACTATAAGTGTTTAAATCTACATTTTTATGAAAACACCAACTAAAAATCATTACATTGTCTGTGTATCAAACTACTCCATACTACTGATATTTGTCTGTTTTCATACATTTGAGTTAGTTGCTTGGTCCCAGAACAACTTTTTGAATTGGTTTATACTTTGACTTTACATTGAAGGCAGTGCTGTTAGCCTAGGGATTTATGCTTGGAGTCTCCAAAGAAATGCATTTGCTCACATTCTTTGTTGCAAGAAAGACACTTCACCATTTGGAACAAGAATGAATGCAGAGCCCTTTAGAGAGAGGGCTGAATTGAGGAGAACTATAATCTCTCTCGGTGGTTGGATATGATGAAAAGGAGTTTCTTTTCTCTGAAAAAAAAAATCTTAAAATTACTCTAAGTGCGGTATTACTAAGGTATGTCATTTGCGTACTCTTCTGTTGATTTCCGTACCTAATGTTTGCAACTTCTAACCTTCTTCCCTGCAAACTCTGCCTGGAAGTGGATAAAGTCTCCATCTGCTTGTAATGTTTCCTAGACTGCCTACACCCCCACTGATACCTGTGCCAAACTCATGACTACTAAACTGTATTGCAAGGGGTTAAATAACTTACCACATCAACTAAATGAGACAATATTCCTGTGCCTGGCAGAGTTAGAGAGCAAAGAATTGTGAAAATCCTGGGGCAGGAGCCGCAGGCATAACATCACAAATTATACTCAGAACTATGGCTGTGGAGACCACCTTTCCTAAAGTCACATATATGTGAGCAGAAAAGTAGTTTGCAGCATATAAATGACATACAAGTCTCATGTTGTGAGACTCCGGTGCTACAAGTTCAGTCTGCAGATTTTTTCTTCCTTCACTGATCTTGTCAGAACCTTTTCTTGTTTCTTGCTTTCATTGTGCCTTTTTCCAAACACATGTCCCATTTGCCGTTTTCCCTGTTTTTCTTCCACTTTCTGTAGTGGACTTTTCTTGTAGTCTTTGGCAGGTCTGTTGTGAAGCATATACAACGCCCTCCTTTTCCTCCAGCAGCTCTTCTTTCCCACCTCTCTTGCCTGTTACTCAGTTAGTCATAGGCAAATTGCTCAGGTGGATCACTTTTTTATTTTGCCAGAAATAGTCGGGTTTCTCATATTCAAAAGTACTGTTTTTGTGTATCAAATAGAAATCATATAGTATTAGGTAGAACTGAAGGCTTCTAACCAAGTCATGTCCACACAGATATAGCTCAGATTGCTTACATGATGCAAATTTATTTGTGTAATATGAACTTTGTCTACACTTTAAACATCATGTACGATTTTTATCACGGGTGCTCAACATAAAAGTAACAGAAAGATGGAATAAATAATGCTGAAATTGTATCATCAGTCCATATCTGAAAGTAATGCAAAAAGCTAATGGCTCATTAATAGCTGGGCTAAGGCTTTTAATCCTCAACAGAGTTCTTGCTGTGATTGTTTTTCTAGCACTGGCCTAGTTGTACATGCTTTGGAGAAATCCTGGGACTAAGCACTCTTCATATTAGTCTGAAGGTATCTCTTGCTGGTGATTTAAGATTTTAAATAGAAAACCAAAGTTTAAAGTGTCAAGACTGAGCAACAGAGCTGCTACAAGCTGCATCGGGGCTGACACTTAGAGGAAAATCCTGCCAGGTTAAAAACAGAAACTTGTTCCACCCGTGGATTAACTTTAATCTACTCATGTTCTGCCACATGGCCCGCTACCTACACACACAAACTGTGTGAGGATGAGGACAGAGGTATGAATTTACATTAGACAGTACTTCCTTCTCATCAATTTTTATAGTTCTGAACTGAAACAGATCTTGAAGAAATGTACAAACGTTTTTCAAACACATAATACCAGTCAGTTATCTGCACTCTAATATTTATGAAGATACAAATCCATCAAACTAAAAAAGGTCCATGGTTCCACTGGTTCAGACCAGTGATCACTGTGGATCAGTTAATTCACTCTACAGAGTTATTTCTGCTGACCTCAATATGCAATGTATTATGCTGGACAACTTGTAAAGTCTGTCTCTTCAATGCTACAGATTTACATACCTGGTTTGTCTCTAAAATGACTTAAGTATCTATCACTCATGAGAGACAAATTCATTCTTTTGGGAGTCTTCTGAAACGTGCTTCTCACTGTATATGCACTTTCAGTATTGAAACTTAATTGAAAATTGTAAAACTTGCAATAAATTTTAAGATATTTGATTAGATCAACAGGGGACAGGTTCTTCAGAGGCATTATCTGTTTAGTAAGATTAAGGCAAATGCAACATTTAGCACTCCTGTGCAAACAGCAATCCAGTCTTGCTCTTCTAAGCAAACTGCAGTTGAAAACCAATCACTGGTATTGTATTTAAGATGAAGTTGCCTTCTAGCGATGTTTCTGTTACAACTTTATTATCATTAAAGAGATAAAGAGTTACTTGAAGCCACTGCTGTGGTTTGTTCGTTGTTTTCTCATCACCACTACCCATAGACTCGCGCTTTGGTGTTGGCCACGTGCAGCTGGGGGACAAAGAAAGGGATATGTACGGAAGCGGCTGTCGGTAGCATTTGCCTTTACTCGTTCCCACACAGCCAGACCATAAATGGATCATTAGCGAAAGAGAGAATAGCCTGAAGCTATTGCAGAAAACATTTGTCTGTAGCATCCCTGGAAGCAAGGGAGTCAACCAAACGTTGGGGACTCTACGTCTGCCTGCTGTTGTCTTGGGCAGCTTGTAGGTGAGAGCTTTAAGATGGGAAGAGACGCAGAGCTGTGTGCCCTTCATGGATTCTTCTTTGCCAGGGGTTTTCCAGCAAAGACTGCGTTAAACCTACAGGGATTTATGCCAGATAGGGTGACTTTAAAGTTTTGCAGCGCTCGTGAAAGGTCAGGCTCCAGCCTATGTTAGAGTCAGCATTTCATAAAATACAATAGATAACAAGCACCCTGAAAACATTAAATGCAAATCTGTTTTTTCCTTTTCCTTGTTGGATTTTGCAAGAGTGTTGCATCATTGCTCTTACCCTCCTTATGGTTTATTTGTTTTTAAAAAAGAGACAAAGTATCTAAGTATTTGCTTAATGGAAAATGTACATACAAAAGCTAAGACTGATGACATACAAAAGCTAGAAGTGATGATATTGACATTGCAAACAAACGTAAGGTACCAGAGATCTGGTAAGCTAAATATTAGCTTTACAATTAGACAATTGCTAACTTTATTTTAATTATGTTGTTAATGAAACCGTAGAATTCATATAACTATAAGGGCAAGTTCTAATTTTCCTTTTCAAAAATCATCTAGATTCGGGTAAATGAAGTTGTCTTTGAACAAACAGTATGCCAAAATCTGTCCTCCACAAATCATTGAAAGTACTCCAGATCCTGAAAGAAAATATATGACTGTTTTATATTAATTTTTTATAGCAGAATACAAATGTTATGATAAAACTTTAAATAGACATTCTTTTTATTTTCAATTTTTAAGAAATGACCTGTCTACTTTAACATTTTGCCCAAGGCTTTAACCATCTACAAAGATATCAGCCCCAGCAGCTGCTGATGCAAAACCAGCTGCAGGACAAGGAATTTATTTGCCTGTCCCCATCATTTAGGAATTTACTGCAGCTGTTGATCCTTGTTATCCATCATATAAGAAAGAAGAACAGAAGCCAGTCCTTTTCCCTTAACTGTTTTTCAAGATAATATATTCTAGTAAAGAGCTATGGTTTTAATTTTACAGAAAATTAAATATTCAGAAATGTAGGTTTGCCATCCACTCTAAGCAAATGTGATAACTGAGATTTATCTCATTTATCATAAGTGCACAGTGTTTATAAAAATTGCCTCTGAGGGTGCCTGTTTCTTTCCATTGATTATAAAGGGTACCAAGGAAGAATAGTTTGGACAACTGTCTTCTTGACACCTGAATTAAGTGAGATACTCTGATTAGTCAGGACTTAATCAATGGTTTGTTTCAAGAAAGTGAGCGTATCTGCTGTTTGTTAGCAAGTTTAATTTAAAAGAGAAGTTTTTTTAAAGCAAGGCAAATGTTAGCCCAGCATTACTTGCCTGTGTCATTAAAAGAAGTATAAATGAAAAGCATATATTTCTTCTTTAAATGTTGATAATTCTCAAATTAGTGAGACAACAGACATTTAATAGAAACAATTCATACTGTAAATACTAATTTTCTACACAGTGTGTAACAATTTAAACTTTAAAGAATGTAATTATACCTAATGCCAGCCACCAGTGTAACATCAGGGGGAATTCCGACATAACTGCAAGGAGAAGAAAGGAAAAAATGTAAATTTTTGAACAATAAGGATGGGGACGTGCAAACATTACATGATAACATGAAGTTATCAAAGGTCTGCTTAGATATGTTTCATAAACTATATACTTTACATTTATTGAAATTGCAAACGCATATTTAGGTCCTGATCATTCAGATACTCGGCCATACCATTAAGCTTAGCCTGGTGAGCGATCCCACTGGAAAGCAAGTCTTAAACCTACTACGTGTGCGCTAAACGGAGCTCTTAGACTCTCTGCAGAAGAAATCCCTTTTTTATTACTTACCTGTATGTGGTTTAGCACAACAGAGACACCGATGCCCCGGTGGAGTGCCTACGTGTTGCTGCAATCCAAATAAATTAAGCTGCCTGACATTTTCGGTTCAATGGGAGATGCAGTGCATGAAAGACAGGCTGGGTCTGCACCCTGCGAGTTAGTGCTACTGCACAGCGTAGTGTCAGACACTTGCCCTTGCCACAGGCAAGCTGGCCCACATCCCCACTGTATGATCACCTGCAGGGCCATTATATGACCCAATATTGCAGCCCCCACTCCCCCCCACCCCCCCCAAAAAAAAGCTGACAGAAGTAGTAAAGTGAGCTGGGAGGCACACGTGCGGATGCTGGCAGCTCAGAGTCAGCCAGCAGAGGTTTGGTTGGCCATCTGAAAGAAACAATAACAAATCTGGGGTCGTTTGGACGTCAAAATGCATCATCTAAGATAACGATAGAAGATACCTTCCTCTATAAATTACATACAAAGCCGGTTTTGTTGTAGTTTTTGTAAATTCCTCTATTTAAATACAAAAGTTATTAATAAAGAATGAGTAGTTTAAATTCCAGGAAATCAAATTCAGTAGATGAGAAATTATGCTGAATTTTCCAAGATGAAGTCTCTGTTGGTCTCTGGCTTAACTTGTCACGGGAACTGGGGAACCCCTGTCTGTGTAAAGTGCTAAAAGACAAATGGACAAAGCACTGGAATATGAATCATTATGTAGTGGGGAGGGAGTCCTCATTTGTCAGTGATACTTTTCCTATTTCTAAATTTAAAAATACTAAGCTCATTGCTAGGAGGAAAAAAAATCTCCAAATGGGCTCTGGCAGGGATGAGGTTAAAATATATTTTCTAATCAGGCGTAGCAGCATTCTTCTAAACAGCATGAGAAGAGGGAGCAGGTTACCAGGGACTGGCAAAAAGTGATGATGAGTCTCATTTACTGCAGCCAATTATTTTTCTTTCCTTTTCTTTGAGGGGAAGAGTTTCAGGGGGGAAAAAAAAAGATGCTTCGGTAGTAAAATGCTTTATTTTCCTTGATGAGATTTGGTTCAGATGATCTAACTTTAAAACTTTAAATTGGCTTTGCTGAAGCAAGCCTTATTTTTATTCTGAACTAGAGCTGAAGTGTTAATGAATACATTGTAAAGTGTCAGGACATGGACAATTATTAATTTCTTTGTTTAGAGAAAAACACACTTCCCAGATCATTAAATCGTATCTAGCCTGGATCTGTTTGATATTAACTGCCAGGTTATGAACTAAGACTCTGAAATATTTAGAAGAAAATTGTGTTTTAAAATTCTGCAATGAAACCAGAATTGAGTTTTAAATGGCATGGTTTAAACACATGCATGAGTCAAATGGATGGAAATTAGAGACATATATTTATTTAGCTTTAAGGAAAAATGTTAAAGTGAGTCCAGTATTACAATAGATGAATCATAGTTGATTGGTCCTTCAATTTGTGATGCTATGCATATATTTAGCAGTAAACCTGCTTACCGACTGAAGTTATGATGATATGAATAATAGTAACTGTTACAGCATAATCCCAAACCCATTCTTCCACAACGAGGGCAAACAGCAGACCACAGACGAAGAAAGTTATTTCCAACGATATCACAAGAGCTGTAAATGAAAATAGGATACTTACAGTGAACACAGTTTTGAAAGGCTTTTTTCTTCTATTCAAAATGATAGCAATGGAAGATAAAATGTCTGAGATATGCAAATTATGTTTTACAAGATCTAATATTATACTAATGTTTTTAGTATAAAGTTAATTTCTAATTTCACCACAGACATCTGCATGGGTTGTCCTGATTTGCCTATGGACTTTAAAATGTTATATATTTTATGGAAAAAGACATGAGTATTAACAGGTTTATGGCCAATTCACATAGCCTGGAGGAAATTTTACTTAGGGACCATCCTCACTCTTTGCATATAGCGTAAAATAGATTTGGCTGATACTGACATTGATCAAATTTGTCCCATTCAAAACAGAATTGTGTGGTTAAGGGATGATGTTTAATAAGAAACTTCATAGCTTTCTCCCTGTGCGCTTCATTGCATCAAAAAAAAATATATAAAAATAATGTATATGTGTTTCAGGACATGGTTTAGTGACCGTGGTGGTGTTGGGTTGATGGTTGGACTTGATGATCTTAAAGGTCTTTTCCAACCTTAATGATTCTGTGTTTCTGTGTATATAAGTGTGTGTGTATATATCTCTATGATATGTGCGTATATATATACGTATCAGAACAATTTAAAGAAAAGACATGCAAGGGGAGATAAAGCAGAGAGCTCACAAGGTAAGCAGAGGCCATCCACCCGTATGGACCTCGTGGTGCGTACGACCAGGAGCCTGGCTTTTCTCAGTGCTGATAGCAGGGCTGACGCGGCGACCATGCAGCCTGACGCGCCTGCCGTCCAGCAGCCAGCTCTGTGTTGTGTTAAACCATGAATGGGGATTACCAGCAAAGTGATAATAACTAACCTATGCTGCCAAAAGAGGCTATTAAAGTTATCTGACCAAGAAAATTCCCCCTCTCAGTGACGAAATGGTGCATTTCTGTCCCCTGGCACTTTCTCTGGAGCGCGCGGAGCCGTGCCGTGCCACCAGCCTGCGCTGCCCACCTCCCCTGATGTCGGGCGCAGCTCTGCAAAAGTAATGGCACGGGCAAGCCGTGCCTCCCCCGGGGGCAGGAGGACAGCCTGGAAGGCACGGAGCAGCTACGCTGGGAAGGGCGAGGAACCTCGTCGCAGCATTGGATGTGATGCGTTCTTCAACACAGCAGTGGAGCGGTGCTTAGCGTTCAGCTTGCTTACTTGCTACTGCGGGTAATGGGGTCAAAAATGATCACTTTCAGGGCAAAGTTTGACTTGACGCTTGGTGGCTACCTGGGATAGCAGGGGCCGGAATGGAAAATGCATGATGTCTCTTCTAGCTGTAGTCCTGAGCTCCCAAACAACAGGTCCTAATTGTGCATTTGTAATTCATATAATTTTCCATCTAAATGTATTTTGTTCTTCAGGTACACAGACATACAAAAGTCACATTTTTAATGGAATTATTTATTTTTTTGCTATTGCAGTAACATAATACCTAAGATTACTGTAGCTGAGAGTAAAGAGATCACGTCATTTTTTCACTGTCTTTAATTTATACATTTGGCAGCATTTTGTGCGTTTCAAGTTTATTCTTTTCCTTATAGGATCAATTAGTTCCTACTATATTATGGATCTTTCACCCAGCAGTTTAAAAAAATGGAAAAAATAATGAGATAACTGGAAAATGACATGTAGTTAGGAAAACAGAAACAACATTTCAAAAAATTTTATGTTTGACAATGCTTTTTTAGCTTATTATATTTCATTATGATAGTATCCCTTTAAATTTGGCCAATAATTTTATAATTTAGAAAGTATGCTTAGTGTAGACAGATGCTCTGTAAACCTTTTTAGAAAACTGGCCAGTAATGACCATAGAATCATAGAATTTTCGGGTTGGAATACCTCAGTTCCGAGCTGACTTCCATTTTTATTTTGAGGTTATGTTTTAAAGACATAATTGTGGTCTTAACAGGCATAAATAAGACTCTTGACTAAACTAATTCTCATTTGCAACATCATTCAGAGACCTTCCTTCTGTCTCTCTGCCCACAGGCTTTAAACAGATCCTGTTACGTTTTGCTATTCAATGCTATTTCATTGGGTGGTGTCCTGGTTTCAGCCAGGAGTGAGTTAATTTTCTTCACAGCAGCTAGTGTGAGGCTGTGTTTTGGGTTTGGGATGAGAAACTGTTGATAATGTGCTGATGTTTTGAGTTGTTGCGGAGGAGTCAAGGACAGTCCAGCTTCTCGCGCTGGCCTGCAGCGAGCAGGCTGGGGGTGCCCGGGGAGCTGGGAGGGGACACAGCCGGGACAGCTGGCCCAGGCTGGCCAGAGATATTCCATACCATATAACGTCATGCTCAGTATATGAAGCTGAGACGAAGAAGGAAGGTGGAGAGACAGGAGGGTGGACTACTAACAAGGTGCCTGATAGAGTTGCTGTCTTTGGCATGTAAACACACTGCATCAAACTAGCTGCTATAATTTTGGGGAAAAAAATCATATTGAGATACAGTAATTATATTAAGGCCACGAAAAGTAATTCTAATGGAATATGATTTAATTTTCTTTTCCATTGCTACAACTGAAATGCTCTTTCTTCATCAGAAATCAGTATTGACACTGCACAAATATCCATGCATTTTTATTACTCTTTTTGACCTGATGAACTAGCCAATTTACTTTTGAGCTTCATTTACTGTACTGACAGAAGATGTGGTTTGCCTTTGTAAAACAGTTTATAAATATGGTAAAATTTCATGTATGCATGTAATTTATTAGGAATGACAGTTTAGGAAGAAGAATATACTTCGAGAGCTTCAGACAAAAATGCACAAATTTGTATTAGGATATATAAAGATATGTTTAGGGATTGAGCTACAATCAAACCCTGAAATTTTAATGTACACTGTATTCAGGCATGACCAAAACAAGATTTCAATTAGTGGAATGTGATCTGTTATTCAGATCTGGATCCAATATGGTTTATAAGAAATTTGCTGCAGTATGAAAATTAAATTTAACAACTTTGTGCAGGAATTTTACAGAGAATAGGCAATTGTTCTGCAGTGAATATGAAGCATCCTGCCAAAACAGCACATTTTCTTCAGGTGATGCAAGATCAGAAGAACAACTCAAGGAAAAACCTAACAATCACTTGAATGATAAGTAGCAATACAGAAATGAGAAGTGCAGTGAAGATGAATAAGCATTTAAATGCAGTGTGGTTAAAATACAGAAATCATTAGTATTACTAGAACAGCTTTAAAATACTACCCGTAAGGAAGACAAGTTTACAGATACAATCTATTTTCTCAGCTGGGAAAAAAGAGAGAAACAAACTTCACTTACCTAAATAATATGGGTTAAGCCATGAGGGATTCGTCTTAAAATCAAAAGGTGCCAAGCCATCCAACATTTTAATCCTGTGGAAATAGAAAGAATAAATTTAACCAAAGCTCTTCGATAAAGCCTTAGTGATTATATGACAAATTATTGTTGTTTTTAAATATGATTTCAAATGGGATACTCTGGGCTTTTACAAGCTGTCTACATTCCATTGCATGTTATGGTCTTGCCCTTGCACACAGTGTCCATGATCTCCACTTTTACTTAAGACATGTCTGGCACTATACATGCTAATCAACTTCCGAAGGAAATATAATTTGTCTTTTCTATCAAACTAGCTGCTATAATTTTTGGGAAAAAAATCATATTGAGATACAGTAATTATATTAAGGCCATGAAAAGTAATTCTAATGGAATATGATTTAATTTTCTTTAATAAGCTATAATAAGCTATAAAATCACAGAATCACAGAATCATTAAGGTTGGAAAAGACCTTTAAGATCATCAAGTCCAACCATCAACCCAACACCACCATGCCCACTAAACCATGCCCCCAAGTGCCAAATCTATGCATTTTCTGAACACCTCCAGTGATGGTGACTCTTCCATCTCCTTGGGCAGCCTTTTCCAACGTTTGACCACTCTCTCCATAAAGAAATTTTTCCTAATACTTAGTCTAAACTTCCCCTGATGCAACTTGAGGCCATTTCCTCTCGTTCTGCTGCTAGTTACTTGGGAGAAGAGACCAACTCCCACCACCACAACCCCATTTCACGTAGTTGTAGAGAGCGATAAGGTCTCCCCTCAGCCTCCTCTTCTCCAGACAGAACAACCCCAGTTCCCTCAGCCGCTCCTCATAAGACTCGTGCTCCAGTGAAACGCTCCAGCACCTCAGCATCCTTCTTGTAGTGAGGGGCCCAAAACTGAACACAGGATTCAAGGTGCGGCCTCACTGGTGCTGAATATGGGGGCATCTTCCCTGTAGGAAGGATCACTTCCCTACTCCTGCTGGCCA